TTCTCTTCTCTTCATCTCTCTCTTCTTTCCATCTCTCTCTCATCATACCCTCTCCTTCTTCCACCATATTTTCATCATTCCTCGATCTCAACTTCTCTTTTTCTCTTGCTCTTTTTCATACTTCTCTTTTCTCTCTTTACTTTTCATCATCTCTCTCTCTCTTCTCTCTCTTCTCTCTCTCTTCTTCTTCCTCTCTTCAATTTCTCTCTCTCTCCCTCTCCCCTCCCTCTTCTCTCTGCCTCCTGTTTCTCTCCCTCTGCTCTCTCTCTCTCCCTCTGACCTTTCTCTCTCTCTCTCTCTCTCTCTCTCTCTCTCTCTCTTCTCTCTCTCTCTCTCTCTCTCTCTCTCTCTCTCTCTCCCTCTCCTCTCCCTCTCCCTCTCCCTCTCCCTCTCCCCTCTCTCCCCTCTCCCTCTCCCTTCTCTCTCTCTCTCTCCCCGTTTACATTGCGTTTAATTGACCAGCTTCTCCCTCCCCGCCTGCCTCTCCCTGCCCTGCTCAGCCTCGGAGCCCGAGCCGCGGCGAGGCTCAGCTGGGCCCCACAGGCCGCGCCGTTGCCTCAGGCTCACGGCAAACGACCGGATTGCTCTCAGACTAAACTGCTATGGTATCAAGTATGAATAATCGGAAATTGGCCTGTTTAGTCAATCATTTCTGACCCGCGACTCTGTGATGGAGCCAGATACCTCCTCTGGATGTCTGGCACCAAGGCATCTGAGCCCTTGGCGCCAGGAGGCTCTCTCTCTCTCTCTCTCTCTCTCTCTCTCTCTCTCTCTCTCTCTCTCTCTCTCTCTCTCTCTCTCTCTCTCTCTCTCTCTCTCTCTTCTCTCTCTCTATGTGTGTGCGTGTGTGTGTGTGTGTGTGTGTGTGTATGTGTATGTGTATGTGTGTGTGTGTGTGTGTGTGTGTGTGTGTGTGTGTGTGTGTGTGTGTGTGTGTGTGTGTGTGTGTGTGTGTGTGTGTGTGTGTGTTGTGTTGGCCCAGTCTCGCCTAACCTTCGCTGCCGCGATAAACACTCCAGCCCTGAGGACGCGGTAAACGCTTCCGCTCACTTCCTGCGGGAAAAAAGGAAATAATCTCCGCAAGACCCCCCCCCCCCCCGCGCAAGGCCACGCGCTGCAACGCGTCCTCGCGAGTTTTCATCGCCTCTTGAGAACGCAGGAAGTGGCAAATAGTGCAAGGGAAAAGCGGAGCCCAAACGACCCGGCGGAGCGGCGAGAACTGGAACTCGCCGCCAAGGTTGCCTCGGGAGCGGCTGTCGGAAGTGATTCTCGCCCTGAGCTGAATAGCCGCCGGGTCGCGGCGCCGCTCTCTGGACACACGCCCACGCGCGTAGATTACAGCATGGAAGGTGCGGGCGAGCGGCGCTGATGCGGAAAGAATGTGAGACTGAATAGATGTGAGAGAGCGAGCGTCATCGCCGTGGCGGTTGTGGTTGGGGAGGACTGCCAGATTCAAGGAAAACGCCGCGGTTTTCTAACGCTGTGGGATTTTGTGTGCGTGTGAGCCCGGGAGTTTCTTTGCGCTACATTAGTTTGCCTGACTGAAATGCCGCGGCCTCGTCATGCCGTCATGCCATGCGTCGTTATATTCAGATATTGCAGTTCGGGAATCGATCGAAAACAATCCCATGAAGCCATAGATATGAAAGATCTATGCTCTCGCGTGTCTTATTTTTTTCGGATCGTGGGAACGCGAGCGGGCCCGGGGGAACGCCCGGCCGTCGTGGGCGCGGCACTCGGCCCGCGGGTGAATACTTGATCAGGGCGACCGGGGCCTAGCACCTGTAGGCGAGATGATACTTGCGCCTCCCACCTGTGCAGGGCCGCAGCTGCCGGGGCGAGGCGCGGGAGGCGACAAGGGACAAGGCCGCGCCCTCGGGAGGCCGGCGACGATTCGTCGGGACCTGGCGGAGGAAAAACAAAACCAGAACATGGACAGAAAAAACAACGTTTTTTGATGTCAAGGACTGGAGAGTAAGGGGGAGTTGGGAAAGGAGCGGCGACTGCCAAAAGGTCTTGTCTGGGACCGGGACTCGGTCACGTGCACGCAGACATGTACACACACACACACACACACACACACACACACACACACACACACACACACACACACACACACACACACACACACACACACACACACAACACACACAAACAAACAAACACACAAGAGAGCCGCCTCCGCCCCAATCCATAGGGAAGGCGACCCGCGAAGTGCGACCGTTCCGACGCGTCTCAGATGTCATGCATATCATATTGTCGGTTAAGGCCGGACTGTTCCTTACGAGGCACATTTCAGAACAAACGTAGGAAATACTGATTACTGCAACAATGCCTTTAGATTGTTATTTTGTCCCCCGTAAAAAATGATAACAGTGTTGGAGAGTTTGTCCCCGCTACAACCAACGCGGCGTTGAACTCGTTGATTAGCCTACACTTTACGAGCAGATAGACTATAAGAATCGTTTATTAATAGAGTGCAACACATGGCAGAATGTCCCCAGGGTGACGAAATCATAAGAATAGTTCGAGATATTAATAGAGTTTGTAGGTCATAACAGAATGCCCCCAAATCCCCACTGAGCCTGACCGCCTTCTGTGTCGCCCGCAGGCCCTGCGAGTGATGCGCCACTTCCCGCCCGAGACCCGCGTCATGACTGCCTGCCGCTTCAGCAAGGCGCTCTACGCCCAGCTCGCCTCGCAGCGCTACAGCCCGGACGTCCGCACGGGCTGGGAGCTCCCGCCGCCCGCGCAGCCCGAGTTCAAGAAGCACGACATCGGCATGAAGCTGGTAAGTGACCCCGCAGGCAGGGCGCCCGCCTGAACGCGGATGCCTGAGACGCCTCCCGCTCCGGGCTTTTCGCGTTTAGTAATCGGTGCCGAAGCTCCATGGCAAGGCTGTATCTGTAGACGCAAAAGGATTTGTTTGTAAATCTCACTCCCTTGCAAACTTAAGGTGTTTTATTGCAATGTGGTAATATATTTTATGTATGTTAACGTAAATGTTATTGAAGCCTTTGGATTTTGTGATTTTGCCCTTTAGACTGTTTATCAAAGATGATAAAAGGGGCACATTTGACGGAGTGATGTCCTCAGAGTTCATTTAGATGCTCACACGTCATTGGTTCCCCAGGCTTGTGGCTTCGAGCTGCTGGTGTGCAGCGCGGGGGGCGTGACCCCCGTGTCCACGCCGTCTGATCCGTCCGGCAGCGACGCCAGCGCGCAGCTCGACCTCACCAACAACCCTCGCTGGCTCAAGTACAAGCAGTCGCTTGCAGATAAAGGATATTTCAGAGTAAGTTGCATTTGTGTCCTTGTGAAAAGATCTGTAACATTTACAGTCTGTTTTATCTTTTTGGGGAATACTACATTTAAACTTTTTGCCTGTAGTTCCCTATGTTATTGTTTTTTATCCTGCAGAGTGAACTGGAAGGCTCAAAATTGTACAAAGAACTAGAAGATCGCGCTCGCCAGTTCTTCGTGACCAACATGATGTCCAGTAAAGGCTCGGAGGAGAGCGAAGACATGCTGTCTGCCGGCGCCATCATCATCAAGCTCCTTGGCAAGGTCAACGTGGACTACGAGTTCTACAAGGAGAGAGCGACCAGACTCGTTCCTGCTGATGGTCAGTATTCGCAAAGTCAGAATTTCCATCCAGGGATTCGTAGTATATATTGGCTGTTTATATATGGGTTATACAAGGATCTGTTTGTCTTCCCTCCTTTTCTGTTTCACACATTTACTCATTTTTGTCTGACAGATGACAGCTGGCTGCAGATAACGCCAGACGCTCTGGATGACATGCTGGAGAACAAATTCGGAAGCGCCAACGGCAATGAGCAGCCAAGACCAGCTGATGACACCGAGGTGATGAACTCTCTCTCGGCCTTCCTGGGACACATGTCTGACTTGGATGGTGCAGAGGTTCCTCAGGACCTGCAGGAGCGCATTAGGAAACTGTCTACGCTGTCCACCTCCCGCAAGGCCTCCAAGGCCAGGAAGCCTTCGAGCCTCATGGTGCACCCGCAGGTCCGCAAAATCTCGGCCCAGTCCAACGCCTCCGACTCCTCCAACAGCTCTGAAATGTCCTCCCTCTCTAACAAGGTCGATTTTAATGCCGAATCTTTCACCGAAGCCATTACTAATATTCTTGGTAAGTATATACTGAAAGATTGTGCTTAGCTACTAACTTTAATCAAACTTGACGAGAAATATATTTCAATCATAAGTAATTAAGTGAACGAAAGAAAAGTAAAGTAAAGATCCGAAGGATGCTGTCCTTCCGTTTGTTAATGAAGGGCAGTATGGTGCATCTGTGGACCTTATATTGACATCGTTATGCGATTGTTCCTTTTCAGAATTCGGAGTACCTGAGGATGACTACTGGAACCAGTCGGAGGACGAGTCGTCCGGGATGAGCAGCTACGGGGAGGAAGACGCTGGCGACGGCAGCCTGAGTCGCAAGTCCTCCAACACCTCTCAGAAGTCCGCCGCCTCCACAGTGTCGGCCACGTCCTCAGGCGTCGACCTCCAGATGAAGGAGTACCTGCGAGAGATGGAACGAGAACTCGCGGCCACCACCCTCAGAGACAGCCTGGCCTCGCAGCACAATGGCAACGACGACGAAGCGGACGATGAATTTGACGACGTGGAAGATTTCGAGCCCGTCAAGGTGGACATGCAAGCGGTCCAAGACCTCGTGAAGACGTACACTGCTCAGAATGGCCTGCCTGGACCCGCATCCTCACTCCTCGGTTCCATGGGCATTAAACCGGAGAAGAAGTAAAGTTCCCTTGTATTTTGCATGGGTACCTGTTGCAGCTGCTTTATCAGTATAATATCGCGATATAAAAGCAGAGGATATTCTCAAACGATATTAATGTATATCTATATCCATGAATGATAAGTGAATAAGGGCTATTGCCGATATATAAATGTATATTTAAATGAGCCTGATGACAAGCATGTATAAATATAATCTGACAGTACTTAAACTTAAATGAGGCTATGAGGATATGAGGTGCCATTTTCCCATTTCCTCCCTTCCCTCTTTCCCTCTCCTATTCTCCTATACCCCCACCCCACCCTAGAAACTTTGGAAAGTCAGGAGGAATGTTAGTAACATTACCTAATGTTCTGCTCAACTGTGATGTGTATTTTAAGTTATGATTGGATACACCCTTTGTTCAGCTGTGAAACAAATATCCCTTTATTTTTAGATTTAGTTATATATTTACAGTCGATATTACTATTTTTACTTACACGAGATCACAAGGATGCACCAACACGTACTGAATATAATGTGGATTTTCATATTTAAAGAACATGATAATTTTGTATTATGATTCATCATGAGGTGACATGATGGACTGTGATTGAAGTGGGTATTAATATTCTAATGGTTAAGCAACCATGGGAATAGGAACGCATTAGTCTAATTTATGGCATTATTAATGATAAGTCGCGTTGGTGGTAGAGATTCTGTCTCGTTAAAACTGATCAATAAGGTTGATTTGTAATTACCCTCTCAGTCTCCCGTATTTTCTTTCCTTTATTCTTATGCCAGTGGCATTTGTCCGTTTATATATTTTCTCTTTACATTGACTTATTATATACAGAGCATATTTGTCATGCTGTTATACAATTCATTGAATTGTATAATTTATTTAATTGGCATATATATTTTAGAACTATACTTTTAGAACTCACGTAAACGTTATTATCCAAAGAGAAAGCACAGTCTTTACCACCTTACCTCCCTTTCGTTTATAAGACGAGGGCTTGTTAGCTTTATCCTTTACACTTCTTTTCACGATAAGTTTCCCTATATCGAAATATCCACATGAGCGGCAATAAGGTGCAGATATATATACATATATATTACACAGATAGACTTTAAAGGGCCATAAACAATGCGATATTTATTTTGGATGGTTCTCTGTTTTTAGAGACATTAGATTTTGTAATGAATCTTTAACTTGTAAAACGTCGTGGTCATGAGTTTTGCTGAGAATTCTATCCTGTTCCACGAAGCACAAATTCCAAAGTAATGTATTTAATACAATAATGGTTTATTGATGTACCAATCGGACAGTGTTTCTTATGCAATATTTATTAATCAAAAACTTGATTGTGTATTACAGCTGTACTCCATTATCATGTATTTCATACATTTCCTTTAGTAATTGTAAATAAATGAAAGTTTTTAGTCGAAACTGTGTTTATAGTAAGTTTTGATATGATATCTGTATTCACTTCCTGTTGTTCAGTTCTCATCAGAAAAGAAATATATACATGGAATATCAAAGAGAAATACACACCAGGCAAACCAGCTGTGTAAAAGAGTAGATCTAAATTGCTGTATTTTTTATTCAAAGATTGGCGGAACACTGCAGAAGCAAAATATACTTCCTTTTCAATTTCTGCAGTTCTGTTGTGGCCAGTTAAAGTTTATTTGTATCTTGGAGAAAGTACGAAAGGTAAACCAGAAAGTATACTTTATAGTCTTAATTAATCAATGATATTCAAAGATAGGTTTTTACGATGTTGTGTGTATATATACGACTTACACAGGTAGCTGAGATATGCGAATGGTATTCATATTTACAGAATATTCTGAGGTTTGATCACACAAATAGAACTTATTAACATAACTTATGGTATGTTATGGTGTAGTATGTTAATTGTTTCTCAGAATGCTGGAATTCTGTGTCTAAGTATCTGAACATTTTTGTATCTTTGGCAATAAATGTATCTGCATGTA